AAAATCAGTATTTGGTCCTGCCAGTGAAGACAGGGGGCTGGACATGATGACCTGTTGGGGTCCCTTCCAGCTCTATGAGATTGGTATAACATTAGGTCTCAACTGTGAAACAGATCTTCTCTGTCAGTGAAATGAATGATTTTCTTTCAAACAGAATTTAAAACCTACCAAATTAATATTAATATATAGTATTTGAAAAGACCAATGTAAGCTTACCCTGAAAAATACATTGAATTCTTTGGTTGAATTAACTGGCTCTCAGTTGTGCCTATTTAGCAATCTTTGTTCAGATCTGATCCCTCTGAATAGAAATGTCTTGGGCAGATTTTTTAGTAAGTTGCAACACTGTGGGAACTGTGAAAATCTTTGGAACTGGCACAAAACTTGTTGTAACTAGTAAGTTTTCAGACAAACTACTTTAAATGTTTCATAATGGCAAAAATCTATCAAATTAAGCTCAATAATTTATCTCAATGCAAGAAATGTATCCCGACTAAAATTTTATTACGGGTGTAATAATTAGCAACACTAATGTTAATGAAATCATAAGTCACTGGCCAGCAACAGAGAAATGTCATAACAATCCTTTGCTCTTTTGGGTGTAAATAATACCAGGTGCTGAGCACCCGCAATATCCAGTGGTTTCAGTGGGAAATGAGAAGCGTTCAGAACTTCACAGGCACATTCGGCACTTTGCTGGACCAAGCACATAATACAAAATTTAAATTACAAGCATACCATTTACTTATTTTTAAATAAATTCTGATGGCATAACGGACTTTGTTCTCAAATAGAACATCAGCATTATTTACGTATGAGAGTTTACCTATACGTGGCATGCAGATTGCAACACACAAAAATAGTTAGCAGTGAGTCAATTACAACATAAATCTGCAATCTTCCCTTTAGAAAACCTTCCATTGAAACTAATAGGAATTTCTTCTGAGCAACGAGTGAAACCAAAGGGCCCAAAATCAATTGCCATCTTAAAAAAGAGAAGTGATACATAAATTAATAAAAATATATCATGTATATTCTTTTACATCATGCCTTCCTTGTTAAAAGTTCAACTTAAATAAATTAGACAAGTAAGGTGTTTTGAAAAGTTAAGTTGGACCAAAACAACAAGTAGCTCCACATTGGAAACTATAATTGACTTGGAAATTAAGGGTCTGATCTTCTTAAAGTATCACACGCAAAGCCCATTGAAGCCAAATGAGTAAAATCCCATTGGCCTCAAGGGCTTTTAGAGCAGACCTAAAGTGAGGCCAGGATTTTGCTCATGCAGCTCCACATTCACTTATGCAAACACGCATGCTGCTCATATATGTACAAAATTCAGATTTTATATTGGCTAGACACCCATCTAATCATGTGCAAATATAAAATACTACATGTGCTTGCAGAAGTGTCAACATATAAATGTGACTCCAATTTCTAAAAACATCTAATGAGAAATGCCAGAAATAATCATTAGTTTTTGCAAAGCACAACATCACTGGGCAGGAAGCTATGTAAAGGTGTTTTGAATACATATAAGACTTGAGTGAATAAATCATTTGGTAAACCTACTGTTCAAGCCCAATCCTGTATTCCTGGGTGGTTTTCAGAAAACTCTAGAATAGCCGGACAGCAGAAAAATAAGCTGAAATCATTTTAAAAAAGGAACCTTCACAAGCTTTGACATCAGTGGGACTACTCACAATGCATAAAATTAAGCACATGTGTAAGACTTTGTGGGAACAGGGCCTTAGTATTTATTAATCTATTTGTGTCTCAGTTGACTAAAGACAATGGGTGACATTATCAAAAGAGCCTGAATTTCAAAGGGATTTGGGCACCTAAATCACTTCTTGCTAGCTTTAAAAATTCCAACCAATATATTTTGTGGGGTAAAGGCCAACTATTTTGTTAAATGGCCTCTAATTTTTCACTTCAAATTAAGTGTTAGAACAAATAGAGAATGCACATGATACATGGTGCCCATTTGGGAACCTTCGAAACTACTGAAATATCAACAACCTTCCGTTTCTTCTTTGTGATGCACGTTTATAACATGAGAATGTTGCCTCGTTCTGTAGAGAATATTTCTTTGGCAGTTAGCTGGGTTGGGAACCTTATTCTCTTGGTTGTATCCCACAGTGACAAACAGGAGACAGAAATTAGCAGCAGTAAAAGTGTTTTGAACCTGCTCACTTCTTGTGGGAACTAGTACATTCAATATACTGTTTTAAAAAAAATGTATTATTTAATGTCAGCCATATGAAATGAGCAGACAGTGATTTTAATGGGGAAGTCTTCTTTGGTCTAGTTAGGTATTTATTATTTCATGCACTTACACAAACACAGGGATCAAATAATATTTTTATCCTTTCTAGTTCAGACTTAAAATATTTTGGTTGTGTTTTATCCAATTTATAACAGGCAACAATTTTTAAAAAATTTATGAAGTGACAAAAATTTGGGTTTTTTTGCAATTTTTTTGTGATCAGCTCTATTCCTAGAGTGACAAAATAAATACAGAGGCAGAATTATTTAAAAATAATTCAGGAGACAGCAGACGTTAACTAATTGGCACTTCGCTAATCCACTCCAGGATTTGGACACAAGCAGCAACATCCCCTCTATTCCTCAGCAAAGATTTGATAGCTGAGTTCTGTTCAGGGCTGGCTCCAGGCACCAGCTCAGCAAGCAGGTGCTTGGGTTGGCCAAGGGGAAAGGTCAGCACGTCGGGCTCTTCGGCGGCGAGTCCCTCGGTTCCTCTCGGAGGGAAGGACCTGCAGCGGAATTGCCGCCGAAGAAGAAAGTAGCGCCGCGGCGCTGCCGCCGATCGCGGCTTTTTTTTTTTCCCGCCGCTTGGGGCGGCAAAAACCGTGGATCCGGCCCTGGTTCTGTTGAGAGCTCCATTATTAGAAATGCTTCATAATCAAGATTTTCAGAAGTGATTGACTAAAGTTAGGCTCCTAAATACTTTTTGCGGCATTTAAGTGACTTGATTTTCAGAAGTGTTGAGCATTATGCATAACACTGCATTACATTTGCCAAATACATGACCAACGCATTTTAGGATGCATCATCCTTGCTAATTTCTTAATTGATATTTGTCATTGAGGGATACATGTTAATGTATTTACTGTAATTTCCCAAAATGGCGTTCAGCAACAGTTTCCCCAAAGTTGTATCAGCTGAATCTGCAATAGAACATATCTTGTATGTTTTTATATCATTTTAAGGTGATGTAGCAGAGCGACAACTCACCAGTACAGCACCTCCTCCTGGCTGTCTCAGGAATTAGCTCTTTCCAGCCCAGAGCGCCCTCTGCAGGCCGGTGTCTCACCTGCCACTGGCCCTGTGTCCCTCCCAGACCCCGGTGCCCTTTCCCCAGGGGTTCTGCCCACCACAGTACCCCCTTGCTCTAGGTCTCCCCTCCCAGGGGAACCCCCAACCCTCTAAACCCACCTTGTCTCAGTTGCTACTGCCAGTCATCATCTAGCCCCCGCTCCTTGGGGCTGACTGCTGTCTGTAAACCACTCATTGGCAAGGGGGTTAGGATCTGCTACCTTTGCCTATCTCTAGGCTGCCCCTCTGCAGCCCCAGTGCCTATTTGGCCCTTTTAGCAAGGCCAGCAGCCTGCAGTTTTTGCTGGCTGGAGCTCCTCAGCTCCCTCTGCCCTTCCCCAGCACTACTCCAATTCAGGTACCCTACTGAACTCCCAGGCAGGCAGGTCCTTCTCTCTCTCAAGAAGCTAGAGAGAGTGTGCTAGCTTTTGGCCCACTGCCCTCTTATAAGGGCCAGCTGGACCCTGATACGCAGGCCACAGCTGTGGCTGCTTTCCCCATCAGCCTACCTTTTCCAACTGCAGCCCTCTCCAGGGCTGCTTTAACCCCTTCAGAGCCAGAACGGGGTGACCACCCCACTACAGGTGAATAACTGATTAAAAAAATTCAAAATGGTTCAGTTTTTTAGTGTGGAAAAGGCTTAACGATTACTTTTCTAACTCTCTTTTTAAAGGTGTTAAACAAGGTTCTTAAATAGTATATACAGTTAGTTCAGGGCACGTTTATCTCCTGATAAAATAGTCTAGTGATATTTAACAAGAGGTCATATTAAAAGGTTTGTGGAATCTTTAATACCCTTCCCTTCAGGTACATCTAAATTGTAATAAAAATCCTGTGGCACCAAGTCTCAGAGCCTGGGTCAATTGACTTGGGCTCATGGTCTCGGGCTTTGGTGCTAAAACCTGCAGTGTAGACATTCAGGCTCTCACTGGAGCCTGGGCTCTTAGACCACCTCCGTTGTTGGGTTTCAGAGCTAGCGCTCCAGCTCAAGCCTAAACATCTACACTGCAAGTTTTAGCTGCACAACCCCAGCCCAGCAAGTCAGAGTCAGGAGATTTGGGCCAGTCGTGGTCGTGCCGCAGGGCTTTTATTGCAGTGCAGATGTACCCTTCCTTTCACTATCACGGTGTCTTTATACACAAATTTGGGGCAAATAAAGGGGAGATTTTCAAAGTCACAAATGTTTTGAAATGAACCAGAACATAAAGCTGTACTCAGCATTCATTCAAAAAGTGTTTAATATGTGTGGAGTCTGGAAGCTAAGTTAGTGGGCAGTCTCACAGATTCTTCTGTTCCACAAAAACCTGCATTCAATTTAAGCATGTAAACTTCTGCAAATCCAACTCCCTAAAGCTGTAACTCATAAGTCGTCAATTTACTCCTATCTTCAGAATTTAATAGGCAGTAACAATATATTATAGACTTAAAGTCGTTAAAATACATTTGGCAATGAGATATCGTTCTCATGCTGAACTCAGAGTTAAGATTGTGTGCTTGTGTGCAATTTGGAGGAATTGGATGCAAGGAATGAAATTGCCTCTCCACTTTCAAATCTGTGAATTCTTTCTTTATTGTTTCAAAAGTAAAGCATGATACGTATGATGCAATTCTGAATTTACTTAATTCCTAACAAATTCATTTCTCTCTCCAAAATGAATCCAGATATACCAGCAAAACTTGATTACACCAAGTTTCAGGTCCTGCCTCCCTCTCCTGAACAAGATGGGAAAGTATCATACATGTGCCTCATTCAGGATTTTTACCCAGATGTTATTAAGGTGACTTGGAAAGATGAGGACAAGAAGAATGCAGAGAACAATGCAGTGCACGAGGAAATTTGGTCCCCTGGTAACAATAAGCAATCATACTCAATAAGCAGCTGGCTGACCATAGATAAAAATAGCAACAAGAATTATCGCTGCCACTATCAACATGAAAGCAAAGAGGATTTTGTCCCCACCGCATCTCCAGGTATATACTATATTATTAAAACTAGTTCTATATATATTTAGAGAGTTCACTGTTTCTTTACAATAAAATGTATTGCTGTTCCTAAAAGGGTTTGCGCTCTCCAGGCCAATATTAGTTTCCATCTCTCCATCAGTGGGCTATCACTGAAGCTTGCTTCTCCATCAAAAGCTCAGTTTTGGCTCCTCTCCCCCCGTTGAAAATCTTTCTGTAATGAAAGAAAATGTTGGCTGAGATCCTCAGCTAGTGTAAATCAGCGTAACTCCACTGAAGTCAATGGAACTCTAGATTTACACCTGCCAGAGACCTGGGCTAGAATGTTTGGTTTTGAACAAGTGCTATATACTGCAACAAACGTAATAACACACAGCATCTAGCTTATTAAAACAGACCGGAAGAATTACACAAAACAAAATCAAAAAGATAATGCAGGAGAAATGAGCTTCAGAGAAGTAATTTCTGTTTGGTTCTTATCTGAGATACAATAAATTAATAACAGCAGATACAAATTTATCTCTTTCAAATGCAATGGAAAAGAAGGGTTTATTGACCTTCCCCCTCTTGCACATCAAAAATACCTAAGAGATGGGCCTTAGACTCTTCTCCTCATCAGGACTATTTTCTTCTGTCTCTTGTACAGCTATTAAATAACATTACCACTACCCGGAATGCCAACAATCTCAGGCTCCCTGAGGCTAGAGACAAAATTAGGCAGTCAGGTTTTTTCTGCCAAATATATGTACACATTGCAAAGGGGCAAACACAACTGGGTAATTTGGTGGGACAAAATGCATCTGGCTCTAAATGACCAGAAGCTTGCATACACAGAAGTGCCGACGTCCAGAACCTGCAATCAGATCTGCTAGTTCCGACACTGGTGCTCAAGCAAATGCCAAAGACTTCAAGTGAGGTCGTTACAGACACAGAGGTCTGCACTGCCTGAGCATATATTAACTTTCCATATTTGAATCACTGTAGTTATAATACTTTTACCATCTTTCTCTTTGAACGTCTATCAGGAAAAGTATGACTTAATTTTCAACAAGAATCCCATTTGACAATTAAAGCCCTCTTTACGTGATATGCTTTTATCCTTTCAGACAAACATGTAGTGTCTCAAACCATAGGAAGTTGTATCAACAAACCTGAAAATGGCACCACGCTTTCCACAGGTAATTGTTTCTCAGTTCTCATTTTCTATACAATACAGTTAAGAATTAAGCACTATTTGATATGGTTAAGACAAAACTGAAAATATTTTCTCTTTCGAAAAGGTCCAAACACAACTACTGTAGATGTGGAACATTGCTGTAAGCATAGGCCCCAACTCTGTGGGGGCTCCAGGGCTGGAGTACTCATGGAAAAAAATAGTAGATGCTGAGTACCCACCAACCACCTGCCGATCAGCTGTTTGGTCCGTCCAGCCGATCAGCTGCTCGGCAGGAGGCATTGGGGGGAAGGGCCAGAGCAGGGGTGGGGAAAGAGGTGGAGCGAGGGCAGGACGCGCTCGGGGGATGGGGCAGAGCGTGGGTGGGAAGAGGTGGGGTGGGTGCAGGGCCACAGGGAAGGGGGCAGAGCAGAGATGAGAAGAGGCAGAGCGAGGGTGGGACCTTAGGGGAAGGAGTGGAGTGGGGTGGAGAACCCACCCGGAAAGAAGAAAGTCTGCACCTGTTGCTGTAAGTTAACATCTGCTGTGCGTTACCAAAAGGGTCCAAAACCTAATGCCCATGGGCAGCTCAGGTTAAACATTCTAGAAGTCCTGCTGAAATACATGTTTGGTGGTATTTGTTGTGCTTTGTTAACATGCCACATGGGTCATTGTTCTTTAACCTGCATGTGCTACTGTTCCTTAATCTAACATTTAACATGTTAAATTATCAAAAGTATTCAAAGCCAAAATTTTCAAATGGTGCGTAAAGGTGCTGAAAGCTTGAAGACCCAACAGATTTCAGTGTAATTTCAGTACTTCTGAAAATCAGACCATTTGATTGATCAGCTACTTGGACACAGATTCAGAATAAACTTAGGCACCCAGGCCTGACAATCTGGGCCTAAAATCATGGCACCAGCCTATTATAAGAAGCACTAGCATTCTGCTTACTCCTTAGCAGACACCAGCGATACCAGCACTGAGAGTGCCTCTTTGTTTCTCTCAGTGCTGCTGGATGGGAAGGTATGAGCAGAATGTAGACCTGTTTAGACAGAGTCAGATATTGATTTATGCATAATCAGATTAGGTGGTATAATTACTGCAATCAAATACAGGGGCGGCTCTATGTATTTTGCCACCCCAAGCACGGCAGCCAATCGGCTTTTGGCGGCATGCCTGCGGGAGGTCCGCCAGTCCCGCACCTTCAGCATACCCACCACCGAAACCGTGGGACCGGCGGACCTCCCGCAGGCATGCCACCGAAGGGAGCCTGACTGCCACCCTCACGGTGACCGGCAGGCCGCTCCCCACACGCTTGCTGTGCTGGTGCCTGGAGCCAGGCCTGATCAAATACCATGTATACCTTACGCCATCACACACGGTTTTATATTTATTTTTCTTTGCAGCTAGAAGTTATGCAACGTTAACCACTTGTTGTTGTTCTATTTTGTGTAGATATTACAGAGCATTTCATGCACAGGACCGCCTCTTTAATATACATTGTCCTACTCCTGAAAAGCAGCATGTACTACGTCATCGTACTCTTCTTCATATACAGGATGCAAAGTCCAATCAAACATCGGGGGAAAAAACCTTAAACTTCTCCTTATACCTTCCAATGTCAGCATTTGTGTCTCAAGTTTACTTTGCTTTGCTATAAGCCTGCTCATATGAAACACCTTGCTCTAAGACATGCATTTCAATTTGATTTTTTGTTTATTTTTCTAATTAGCACAGATGGTTTCTTCTGCTTAAGAGCGAACAGTTTTATGTGACCATTTTTCCTATTTCATTATTTTAATTTTGTAACTGTGGAACTTCAAGGGCTGAGGCTACACTCCTTGATTTCAATAGGAATTTTACATCACAAAGCAGTGCAGGATGATTCTCTTAGTCTCTTAGCCTGCAAAAACACTTGTGCACACAAAGAACTTTTTCGATGTGGATAGGCCAATTTGCAGGGGTAGAGTCCTAATCTGTAATTTAAAATGATTTGTCATTTCATTTCTACTAAATAAATTTATTTTCTTTATAAAACAAAAACAGGCTTCTGAAATATGACTAATTTTTTTAATTGACATATTAATGGATTTTAAATAAAATTCAGCATTGCAGAATTCTGTCCAGTTTATTTATTTAAAGGAAATCAATTCTAGGAACTGTAAGAGAGGGTTCTCTAGTGGTCAGAGACCCATTTGTTTCATCCCCTGCACCCAACCATGTAACATATTTATATGGCTTTTACCACGGTAGTATTTGAATGCCTCACAATCACTAATGCATTTATTCACACAACACTGCTGTGAGATAAGGAAGTATTATTATGCCCATATTACAGATGGGGAACTGAGGTCTGAAGAGACTAAGTGACATGCCCAAAGCTACATGGAAAGCCTGTGGCAGAAGAGAGAATTAAACCCGGGTTTCCCAACTCCCAGATTAGCACTAAGCACTAGACCAGGCCTCCTCCCTTTAGCTCCAACTCTATCTGTGTCCCCCTCTCTCATATCCACCCCTCCCCTTCAGCTCCTATCCTCCTGCACATCCATGCCTATACACACCGATATTCTTCCCCTGCCACTCCCTCTAGTCCTATCCACCACCCGTTACTGACAGTCCATTTCCTCCTCTGCTGTCTCACCTGTCCTCTCCTCCCCGCACTGCTTCCTGTATCTCACTGCTTCCCCCCACTTCTGGCAACCATCCCCCCTTCCACTTTGCTTTTTCTCACACTCTGGCTCCTGCACCTATCTCTCCCTGTATTTCACCCCCGTCCCCATCTTTCCCCCACTCTTCACCCCTCTGCATTCTCAGTCAGGCTGCTTCCTATTCCTCCTCACCGCCTGGGTGCTAGCAGCGGGGGTGAAGAGGCATTGATCACACAGAAGAGAGCGGGTCCTTGCTCTCAGATCTGGTGCTAAAGTGGCCTGCAGCAGCAACAGTGTTGTCAGCCTCAGAACTTGAGCTTTTGGCAAACACATGTGAAAAGTAGCCCCCAAAATCACGGAGGTTGGTGACACTGCTCCTTCCACACTTCCCCTCCCCCGGCAGTAACATTGTTCCCTTCCTCCCCGCAGCGCTCTAGTGCATATGTCCCAACCTTTCAAGTGGCTAAAGTGGGCTACGGAGGGGCAGATGAGCCAAACCTAAGTGGTGCCATGACCCCATGTGCTAGGTCACAATGCCACTTGGTGGGAGGTCTGGGGCAAACAGAAGATTGTGGGTGTCTAAGGACAATCCCACAAAATCCAGGACTTTGGGTAATTTTGGTAATATAGTCACTTCCCCTCCTCGCAGTAACCCCCAAGGGGTGTACACACACAGGCTGCTGTTGGCCCTTGCTCCTCCTCGTACCTGTGGCTGCAGCATCCCTTTCTCACACTGCTCTCTCCACTGCCTGCCTGGCCCTTTGTTTCCTGGTCCCCACCTCCCGCCTCCTCCTCTTCCTCACACGTATTGAAAGCAAACAAGCGTGATGGCTAAGGATACAGCTATGTCACGCTTGTCACCACTCTCACGGCCCGGGAACTTTACTCGTTACATGGCCTCTGCTGCCACACGGTATCAGAGAGTTAGGTCACTTTGATCAGCTGCCACACATTAACAGTTCGTGACTTCACTTTGATCCAGTGGGTCCAAACGTTCCCATGACCATGGAATGACTTGATCTGTTTTTACCATGACTGTGTTTGGCAAAGGTATAAGCAATTGAAAACAGGGTCTTCTAATGGGAAGTTTCAGGCAATGTTAACTTACAGTCATCTATACCTAAAGTGTGCCATCTATAATTAAAATGTTTGTCTATATCATGCACCTTGAAATTCAGGCCCTGCCAGTATCTGTCTCTTACCCCTTCATCCACCTGCAACAACGCCATTTTTATTAAATGTAAACACCGATGTTAATTGTGTTTAAGTTCCTCCTCTATCTTGGTGGGTCCTACGCTTATTGGCGGATTTTCTTGTCTCAGAG